CATGTGTAACGCCACTATATGTCAAATAAAGCCTTTTTTTGTTCCATACCCTACTTTAAGCTTTATATTCATTTCTGCGCCATTATTCTTTTACCATCGTTTAAGTACAAAATAATGTACATCATATTCAAATTTCATGTCAATCAGATGATTTCTTGTAGAGTTATGACAAAAAACGCACTTGTTGCTAAAGTTTTGCACACCAGTGTATAATGAAGAAAACCATTGTAACTTCAAAACTATTTATTCTATCAACTCAAATTTCATCTCATTAAATTCTGTTTAAAAAATTACATCGAGAAATGTGCCACCCATGCTCAAATAATCCCTAGATAGCAAAGTAAAAAATGTACTAAATCATGCAAAAATAGTACTTTTAATGCATGAAACTTTAAAACTTTCCAATCTATTGACTTGTGTATAGTCTCATTCAATTCAGTATATAAAAGAAAAAAAGTACACAGGAAACAATGTTTCACTGGTTGGAATAGCAATATCAGATGCGCAAATAGGTACAAGAACAAATTTGTACTTTTTTGTACATAACACACTTATAATTTCAAAAACTATTAGTCTGATCGTTGCGGAATAGGTATCAGTCAATTTAGCGGGAAAAATATACAGCAATAAATGCCTCTTTGAAAAAAATTCGATTCTCCCTCTAAAACAGTGTTTCCTGAAGTGTACTCCCAGGAGTACGGGAACAGTTTAGCGGGGGTAGACGTTCTTATGCGAAATATCTTGCAACAAACAAAAATTTCAAAAACTTATATTTAAAAACAAAGCTAGCCATGAAAATTTACGATTATGTATTTTTCTATAGGCTTTTTTTTGCAGAATTGACAGTTAATAATTAGTGGTGTCAACAGCCAGTTGTGATTTTTAACTTTTGTGCATTTTTTTTTTAGTAAAGGTTTGTAATAAATTCTACTTATTTTGATTATTTTTATAAAATATAATTTTTATTCCTAACATAGAATATGGATCGCTGGTTAGTATCTAAAAAACTTCGTACCAAAAAAGAAGAAACATATTTTTAAAAAAATGCATTAATTTTTTTTTTTTTTTTTTGTTAGTGGTACACAGCGTTACGAAAAATGTAGAAAGGGTGCACAAAAGTCATAAGTTTGGGAAACACTGCTCTAAAATCACCCACGCTTCTTCCAGAAAACGTACAGAAGAAAGTTGGGTAGTGTACAGTTATCATTTATATAACAGCATTTTTCAAAAAAATGTTTAAGTATTACTTTTTCGATAAAAACAGCTTTTATTTAGTTATAACTACTAGATTATTAGATCAGAGCGCAAAGAAAATGTATAGGAACCCTAACTTTATATTTAGAAGCAAATTTCTGAGATAAAGAAACTACTTATGAAATCTGTGTTCTAGTATCTATTAAAAGTAACCCAAAACAAAAATGTCAACACGTTAATTTAAAAACTTTGTATGGAATTTTTTTTCAGTATATATAGATATTACTAAAATTAATAAAATGTCATACATATAACCCTGCTCTAAAATCTTAATTGGAAAAATTATGAAATAAAAATATATATAAAGGGCAAATGAAGTATGATGTATTATTCCTTCTTTCCAATGAAATTTGTAGATAGAAGGTCATCGGTCTTCCCCCTCTTTCTTATTAATAAATTTATATTTTTTTGAGTGTTTTGTTTCAAAAAGTATATTAGTTTTTGACCTTTTTTATTCGTAAGACTTTATTGTTCTTCAAAAATACGCGTGTAGCCACAGAGTTTAAACTTTAGTCCTCTCAATTTCCTTCCTCATTTGTTTTTCTTATTTATGACAATTTTTTTTAAAGGAACGCGCTGATTTTACAAATTAAAAATTGTTTAAATTTGTATTAATATATTCATACAGGAAATGCTCCCAAAACCTGTTTAGTCAAGCTGACAATTACTAGCATAATGAAGAGTTTTTTTTTTTTTTTGCGTACATAATTAAAATAATTTTACAGCTAATGTTACATTTTTAAGTCATTTAATGTTAGATTTTAAGTCAAAGGGTAGAATCTACGAAATGGACATAAAATACTCAATAATAATGAGAAAAAAAAACTCAATTTCAAATAGAACTTTAATTTTTCCCGTAACGGAATGGTTAAGAAGAAAGGAAAATCTGTCAATGGCGTAAAAAAGGAAAGATTTTTTACAAATTGGTTCAGAAAATTATAAACATAATCAATGATATTACAATGAGGGCATGTAACCTCAGTAAATTTAATAATGTAATCTGTAAATTTATTATGGAACATTCTTAGTTGTAGCTTGAAGCTCTGTAGACAGCACATTTTACAACTGTACATTTACACCAGTGTATTCATCACAATCTATTTGTTTTCATATACAGTCAAACCTCGATATCTCGAACTTGAAGAGAGAGGAGAAAAAATTCGAGATACCGAAAATTCGAATAATCTCATGTTATCGATGGTAGAATAAAGAAAAATGCTCTTTACATACCTTATTTACTATTCCATATGTATTCTAAAAACACTTTTTACACTTTCATTTAAAAAAAGATTCAATTGTTGTTTGCTTTAGAGATGTGCAAAAAAGTTTGTCTATAACACTTTCTTAAGTGGACTATAGCTTTAAATGTCTCCTCTGACATATTTGGCTGCCTCTCAAATAAATCTCCTTACAGTGTCCACTGCAGAAAGTGCTTGTTTGTTAGTAACATTGGGTGGTAAATCATCGATTTCCTCATCCTCTTCTTCTTATAGTTCACAAGAAGATTTCGCTTGAGCGATGATATCATTGTCATTCGACTGACCACATACTGTTATTGCATCATCTACGTTTACAAAGTTATGAAATTCCAAGTCATCAAGTTTCATGAGTCCGGTCAATCTGTCCCAATCATTTTCGGTGTAGTTTTCAGCAGAGTTAGCGATATTGATTGTTTGACTACTTTCGTGATCTTTAATGAATCCAGCCTTCTTGAAGTCATTTATTATCGTAGAGAGAGACACATCATTCCAAGCCACTGACGTCTTTATGCCATTTTTTTTAAAAAAAAGTTTATCATTATGAGAATTGGTTTTCTATTCTTAAATTTTTTTATTTTTTTTTTGGAATATTTTTTTTTTCAGAAAAAAAATCTTCACTATTTATGAAGAAAAAAATTCAAGTTATCGAGGGATTAAAATTTTTTTTTTTTTGTGAAATCAAGTTTTTTTTAACATTGAGTGTATAGGAAATTTAAAGGAATTTTTTTTCCTTCGAGATATCGAGAAATTGGGGAAATCGAGATTCGAGTTAGCGAGGTTCGAATGTACTTATAAATCACAGAGGCGCATTTTAATATCTCAATTCAACACAACAAGGATAAATCTTGCATTTAAATGTAGCATCGGTGCTCAATATTACTCTTAATAAAGTTTTGTTAGTTTTCTGTTTTAAATTGAACTAAAAATGAAGCAGGTATATGTTCTAATCATCCCTGGGTACCTTTTTAAAAATTTCACAGCCAAAAATTTTACTATTGTAAGTCTTTTGACACGAATTTATAAGTATTAGCTTTATTTTACGCATAATTCTTCAAAAGAAAAAAGAAAAGAAAAAAAATCAAATTTGCTCTTATTTTGTGCCAGTTCAGCAAAATATTTTAACTATATCACTCTCCCCCCTTCCCTCGGATATTATTAGAATCAAAGCATTTTTAACTATACTAAATTCACCGAGTATTCTCTGTTGAATCCTGGAAAAGTTGAGCTCTAAATCTCTTAAGTTACTTACAATTTCTTTAATTTTAATAATATTTTCAATTCAATAAAAATGTTCTAACTCAATTCTTGGCCCGCTAACTAAATATCCCCGCTAAAATATAAGTTGCACGACTCCTTGGGTCTTACTCATCTTCAATCATTTTTGTTTTCTTGTTTTTCTTAATACTTTATTTTTATGTCAGGCATAGTTTCTAGCAACATTCGTTTAATTCCATTTATTTGATTATAAAAGAAAGAAAACGCATTTTTTTTACTCTAGACTTTCTTTTTGAATTTATTCGAATGATCGTTGTAATTCCAACATCAAATGGCAAATTTCTACAGAAATTACGAAAATCAAAAAGGTGAACACCAGAAAAGTTCGTTATTGAGAGGCAACTTCGTTATTTAAAAAATATATTTTAAATGCTATTTAATATTCACTTATAAATTTCGTTATAGAAGAATTATTATAGAGAAATTCGTTGCAGGGAGAATTTACTAATTATGTTTCATTGGATTCCTAAGTATTTTCTTAGCTTCGAGAATAGCGTGGTACACCGCATTTGACGCCTTTACTATTTTATGTTCAATTAAAGTTAAGGAATAAAAAATATATTACAAATTATATTATTTTTATTGTTCCAATTCTTTATTGTTTTGCTGATTTGTTTTTCGATTTTTCCCCTTCCAATACAACAACATTTTTTTTTTTTTACTGATTTTACTGACTTTTATGGATATGCAAAACAACATTACAATATAAAAGACAAAATTGATAATAATAATAATAAAACAATCATTGCAAGCAAGTTAGTGAATACGCAAACTATATAATGTAAAAAATAAATTTAAAAAAACCTTTTAAGGGAAAAATATGTCTTTAATTTAAATACCAAAATTTGAAAAAATTCTTGGCTGAAAGTCTAAAAAAGTGTCAAAACGTCAACCTTAATTTAAAGTTCTACTAACTTTTGATACTGATCTCAGCCATTCACTCATAAGAAGATTAACTCGAAAACATTTTCATCTTGTCAGTTTAAAATAAAATGCATAAAAATTAACATATTAAATCATTGCGTAAAAATGACATATAATGCTAAATTTTCTTCATGTTTTTTTATCCAGTAGAAATAGTTTTAAATTATAGTTAATTGCGAATTGAATTATCTTAAATATCTTAATACTCTACTGTTTATTGTAAAATATTAGTGTTTGAAGTAGTGAAATGTTGCCGAAAAAGCAACATTTCACTACTGGATTGGAGCTGCTAAGTTTTTGGACCCAGGAGCCTTAGGATTCATTCCGTTAAAAAAATTGAAGTTTTCGTACTCAATCAGTTTGACTTGGTCACTGAAAATAAAAACAAAACAAAACGTATGACACAGTGAAGAACCTAGACAGTGTTAAAATTTAATTAATTAGTTTATAATGCTTCTTTCATTAATATAAATCTTTTGCCAAATTGATATTTTGAAAGATAATTCTAGATTTTTTCCACGAACTTGCTGCATGTAAGTTTTATTTTGTTAATGTTTTGAGTTGCGATTTAGGAGGTAGTGCTTACCGAGTTAACTATACTTTTTATTATTATCATGAACAAAACTAATATCTTCTAAGCATTACTTTATACTATTATTTTTGTATTTCATACAGGTATTATATTACTTAGAAGCTACTTCTTGTGTGTGAAGTTTTGATTCGAGTTGTCTTGCAGTTTTTTATATCCACCAACTACGCTAAACAAACGGGCCTCAAAAGGAAAGTTATAAACATGGTAAATTATTACATTAAATTATTATTAATTATTTTAGCTGTCAAATTTAATATTTCATTCCTAATGTAGACTGCTTTAGTTCTATACTGTATGTATTGAAATTATTTTAATCTCCATTATTAGGAATCAGTACAATTAACTAATAAAACGTAATATTTATCCTAGTAAATGTAAATGCTTTAACTTAAAATTCGAATCTCTTTTGCAGTGTAATTCATTTGTATGAATGCATTGCTCCATTTCTATTAATGTATGTATAATGTTTAATTATGCTGTAAGATTAATATATAGTAAGCTAGAAGATAATTGTGATATTAATTTAAATATATTTCTTGTGTGTTTGTAAAATTTTTCATTTGTGCTTCTTTTCATTTGTACATATTGGATATTGTGCATTTTATTATTAGAAGTCTATTTATTTTATTAAAAGCCCATAAGACTGAAATTTTTTTCTACTGAATAATTACCCTTATAATTATATTATTAAAAGTTTCGGTTATTAGGTTTTGTCAGAATGATTGATTAGCGGTTGTGTAGCATTTTATAATGTAAATTTTATTCCTTGAGATGTGATTGCAGAAGATAAAGTATGTGATTTAGAAAATTCTGTTTATATGTTTGAGTTCATATCTTATGCTCATTTATATTTTTATGCATATCTAAAATAATTCTTTATCATCAGGTTATAGAAATTGTACATTGCTTTAAATTTAGTTATCTAATGGTTTGTTAATTTAAACTATGTTCTGCACTGTATTAATACTTATTTATATTTGTTACATAAATTTTTAGTCTCGTATGTTGACTTAAGCTACAGAACTTTATTAATTACTAGTTTCTTAGCAGCAAAAAAAAAAACTTCTTGAACAATTTTTTTTTTTTTGCGTTTGAATTGTTTTATTGCTGTATTTTGCAATAATTTTAGCATGCTAAACTATAAAATTTCCTTTATTTGAAGTTCATTGTAATACAGTAGTATACCAATCAATTTTAATAATCAGTATCAAGTGGTATCAGTCACTTATTGTGCTAAAACTTCCAAGAGCAAAATCATTTGTATATGATAACATTAAAATTTCTTTGCTTGTTAGACTTTTGACATCTATATATCAGAATCAAAACTATTTGGACATTCACCAGTGTTTGCTAAAAGTTGGATTGAGCGTTTCAGTTGGAGAATCAGAAATATCTAGAACAATATCTGTCTTCTATTTTCCTAATGCTCATCCTTTCTTAGCCGTCTTATAAGAATACTAATTTTTTTTAACTCTGACAGGAAGATGTAGTTTGGAATTTATTAGAATGTGTTAGGACAGTATATTCTTGTTGGAAAAAAAGGAATATTTCTTTCAAATGATAATAAAAAGTGTTTAATGTGATAATAAAAAGTATATTCTCTGGTAAATAATAAAAGATTCCCTTTTCTTTTTTTGTTAGCAAAGAGGTATCAATGAAATGAATCAACTTTAGTTTGTGTATCTTTGACTTTATGAACATTAAATTTAAGATAGTTATTCTAGCTTTAATTAAATTTTCTAACTGACAATAAAATTTCTTGAATTTATATAAAACATTTTTTTAATAAACCTTATTGCATATACTGTGAACTGAAAAAATATTTTCTAATTTCTAATGAAGTAGATATTCGGTTAGTGAAATCAGTGTTTGTTTGGAATTAAAACCTTTATGTATTAATGCTATCACATTCAACGGTGGGCACTACTCTATTAAAAAAGCGACGCTACAATATTTCTTTCTTTTTAATATATTAATGTCATGAAATTAATACTATTTATTGGAAGTGTATTAATGAAGCTTTAAAATGAATTTAAATGATCTAGTTCATGAAGTTAAGTTTAATTTAATGATGAAGTTATCATCCCAGTACTTAAACATCCATAATTGGTTTTAAACTTTCTTTGAATGCTTTACTAAATTGCAATAACTGCTTTTTGAATTGTAATATAGAGCCAATTTGTGTAATATAGAATTATATCTCATTTTTGTTTAATATTCAAGTATTTAGTGTCATTTGATATTTCAGACTACAGCAGAGAGACTTTGTAAGCTGAAAGTTAATGTAGGTTGCAATTCAACCAATTATAACCAACTGTTAGATTTACGATCAGCACAAACACTGAATGAAAGAGCCTCTAGTGAAGTGAGCAATATCAAATCTTTTTTATAAATATATTTGTGTAGATGTTTATTCAGTAGTTATCATTGAATCACGTAAAGAATCGTTCACAGAAAAATACTTTGCTTTCATATCAAATAATTTTATATTTGTACTTATTGTTCAAGTTTTATGATAAGAGTTATTTATTTATTTTTTTTTACTTTTATGCAAATGAATTTTTAATCAAGATTTTATTTTTGATCAAAAATTATTATGAACGACTTTTTACTATCTAGTGTCCAAATTTTCAATGCAAATTTCCAAAGATGGTATTTGAATTGAACATTATCCTAATTTGTTGTGAAATAGAGGGTGTTGTGGCTATGACAATAAATGAAAATCTAATGTCCACATCTTTTCTTGATTTCTTGGATTTTATGAAAAAAATTAGTTTCTTTTTCTTCTTGTTTTTTGCTCTTAGCAAATTTTTTATGATTGAGTATACAGCTTTATATCTTTGAAGAACAGCTTTATATCTTTAAAAAAGTTAAAAAATAAAGTGGGAAATAAAAGCTTTATCTAATTGAAAAAGTACGTAAAAATGGTAATTTAATGCTGTATATTTGCCTGTTTTTAGATGTTTTGAAACATTTATTTTCGTTTAATTTGAATGGAGCTGAAAAATTCTGCTGAATCAAATTGATGCTGGCGTAACTTGCACGAAAATATAGGTATTTTTCAAAAATCTAAAAGCATGCAATGCTAAATTTACCTTTTTAAAAATGTTGGTTGCAGAATTGTTTAGGTATTACTTTGTCAGAAATAATCTGTAAATCTAGACTGTGAGAGAATCTATTACTTTATTTGTGAAAATTAAATAAAGATATCTAAAGTAATATTTTATATTTCCCCGATTCATTTAAACCCCTTTGACAACAGTTGTGAGGAGAGGACACAAGAACTTGCTTGTTTTTTCCTTGCCTGTAATCTGAAGAGAGTTCTTATGATTGGCTGGTTCTTAATGACAAAATAATTATTTCATGAATTGATTATGTGATGAGAAAATGCTAGTAGCAACATAAATTTCTTTAAATATTAGGCTAAGTAATAAAAAGACTAATTTTTGCTAAAAATTTAACATTTCAACATACAAAGTAAAAAAAAAAAAGAAGAATCAAGTGCACAGGCAATATAAAAATATTAATAAATAAATTAAATAAATATATAAACATGAAAGTTTAATTTTTACGAACTTTGTCTTAAATCCGAGTACTTAGTAATACGAAATTCAAAATCTTAATTTTAGTCTAAAAGCTTAATAATTTACATATGAAGTCATAATTTCAAAATTAAAGTTATACTAAGATTAAATTTTATTTCAAGAAAAGCGGATGAAAAAGAACATATAAATTTTTTAATAATTTTCCTAGGATCCAAAATTTTGTTTCATTGTAGTTTCTTCTATTAAAAAAAAAATCAGTGAAACGGGATCAGTTTTGCGATCTTTTAATTTTGTTTCAATTTTAGATGCTTAAACGTATAGAAAGAGAAAATAAAGACTAGAAAAGCCCCCAGTCCTAATGATAGGAATTTTAAATAAACAGTAGATGAATAGGTCCTAACAGACGCTTAGGAGCTCTGGAAGAGAACCAGATTTATTGATGGGTGAAATAGCCAAAATTTATTGATGGATAGAATTTATTGGTGGATGAAATAGCCAAAAATAAAACCAACCTTGTGTTATTATATATTAAATTTGAAATAATTTGGCTACAGCTTAGTTACCAAAAATTCTGTGAGAAATGATTATAGCCCTGTAACCGTAACATTTTTGTGGTCAGAGAAATAAAGCAGCTTAAAGTTAAAAATAGATTTTGATATTCAAATAGTGAGTAATACATTTACATTGAATGTGAGTTATTCAATGTGAGTATGTGAATTCAACAGTGAGTTATACATTTGCATTGAATTAAAAAGTTAGTCTGTTTCATTACTTGTTAAAAAGAGAATAAAGTATATAAGCTTTTTATAAAATGTGATAAAAACTAAATGATTGTTTTAATTTAATTATAATTGGATTAAGTATGATTAAATTTATAAAGTTGCAGACATTTTAAAAGCTGAGAAATATGTCATGCCTATAATGGCATCACACGTCATTATCATGATTTTGAATGACGCAACAAGCTGAAAATTGATAAACAAATTTTGTCACATGGAAGTGACATTAGTTTCCCTTCCTCTGATATTTAACTTCAAGGTTGGCAATCATGATACAGTCGAACTCGTTTATAACGAGCTCGGATTTAACGAGAACTCGGATTTACCGAGGGAAACGAGAATATTTGGTTGGATCAATGTTAAGTCTATGGAACAGAAATCGCTTTTAACGAGCAAGACCCGGTTTTAGCGAGCAATATTTTTCTGTCTTGCAACCTTTTTTCTGATCTTTCTAGTCTTTCTGTCTTATCTTTTTTTCAAAATGATATGAAATGAGCGAGTTCAAAGTAAGCTGACAAACTATTTTAAATATCTAAATTAATGAAAAAAATAAATGTTTTGGTAAGAATCTTTTCCTTTATTTTTCTTTCCGTTTATATTTTCTTTCTTTAAAGACTGTAGCGCAACTAGAAATTTTTTTGCTGGTTGGGGAGTTAGTTGTCATTAAATTAAGAAAAGTATTTAATTAAATTAATTAATGTAATTAAAGTAAGTAAGTATTAATTAAATTTTAAGTCAACTCAATCATTTGACCTCCCAAGCCCCCCCCCCCACTTCTGGTTGCACGTCTGCCTTAAGGACCCGTTTATTACGAGCACTCGGATTTAACGAGTACATGTTACGGTCCCTTTGTGCTCGTTATAAACGAGTTCGACTGTACTAATAAAATTCTTGAATTTCATAAAAAAAATAATGACTAGATCAGAATTTATTTAAAGATCTAAAATATGTTTTTAATTTTTAGTCTACTGCTGAGTTTTTAAAAGGGTTGCCATCCTATAATGAAAACAATTTTACTCGATTTACGCCTGATCCTTCATGTAGAAGTTTTGTAAGTATTTTGTTCTAATTCTTCTAATTTTGAACTTTTTATTTTATTCTATTTTAAGAGGACATAAAATTGATTATAGTTTATTTTCTTAACATTTTAGAGAGATTAATATATTATAATGAGATGTTTGAATTCAACTGTTTAATCTTACCATTTGTTTCTTATAAGCAAAGTTAATTTAATTACACTGATGCAAAAGGAAAAAATTATTTATAGCAGAGAAAATTTTATGCCCAGCATTTAAAGTTGACCAGATGTGCCCAGATATTTCCTTGATAAAAAAAATATTCTGTTCTTCTTGGCCTGATATTCCTGATTTTTGTGTGTATTCAGACTATCTTATTTTCTAAGAATGAAAATGCAGAATTTTGAAAAATAGAATTGAGAAATCGAAAAATTTTGTTTTTTGTTTCAACCTCCTTTTATTGTTGGTAGAATTTGTAAAATTCGGTAATTAATGTCTGCTAATTATATTCAAACCTTATCCTGAGGATTCATTGCTTAAACCATTTTGAGATTTCAGCATTTGATATAAAAAAGACTCAATTAACAATTTTAAATTGTTAAAATTTTATTGGTGATGAATTAAGAGATTATACGCTTATTTATTATTTCAATCCAATGCAGTAACTGATCTTGTTGGTTGGGATTATAGTTTCACAATTATTGATTCATCTCTTTTATCAAAATAATCTATTCCAATCAACAATACAGCAATCATATCATAGAATTCTTAAATGATGAATTGAGGAATCATACACAAAAATTACTTTTCTAAAATATTAAAAGTGGTATTTTCACTATGTTTTCATTTCAAGATTATTGAAACCCTACTTTAAAATTATTTTTTTTAGGAAATCTTGAACTCAATTAAACATTTTTATTACATACTTGCATGAAGGAGTATTAATTAATTGATACTAGTTATTAATGCAGCAGTACTATAAAAAAATTTCATGAATTTTTTTTTTTTAAACAATCATGAGTTGCTGCTCAGTATTGACAAAATTATACTGGATACTTTTAAAACTTTTCGTGCTTTAAAACTTTTCATTATTCATATTATATTATTATATTTTAGTTAGTTTGCCTTTTTTTAAAAGTAATTTGATATATGTGTACGGTTTCAAAAATGCTCTGATTTTGTTCTGAATTTTTTGAAAAATGTTGTCCAGATATTTTTCATTGGCCCACAATGAAGCATATATCCCTTTTCAATGCTAATTGAAGTTGGATTAATACATACATGTGTCAAATATATTACAATCCGCAAAACCCAGACTTTTTCTTAGTTGTATTATTATTCTTTTTAAATATTTAAGTGTGTGAACTAAATTTATTAATAATAAAATTTTTAAAAAATCTCTAGATTTTGCTTCACTGAACCAAATTCATTTTCACTATTCAGGATATTATAAGTGTTTACTTATTAGTATATAAAAATGAAAACACCATTAAAAAAATTATGTATCATGAAATACCTGGATACTTTAAAAAATTATCAATTCTTGCTTACATTTGTTATTATTTATGTCATATTGTAAGTTTGTCATTGCCGTCAATTTTAAAGTCATTCTTTTTTGATGAAGAAAAGGATTTTTAGTTTTTTCTCCCCTCCAAAAACTGTGAAATTTAATAACTGACTAATTATGAAAAGAAACTATATGTTTTTACAAAAGTACGAGTACAATTGTACTTTTTCAATACTCTTACAATGGTACATGTTTTTTCTTTTATCTCTGCATAGATACATACATATTTTAATCTACAAACTTGGATTTTTTTGTTAGAAAACTTTTCATTTGTGTGATACTTAACTAAAAGTTAACTTATTTAAATCAGCCAGTTTTTTTAGATAAAATTTAACTGTTAACTGCTACATAAATTTCATAATCACAACAAATAGTGTGTTGTCTAAAGAGCGTTTCTTCTTTTTCTCTTAAATGTAGACTAAAAGCTAATATAAAGATAGAAACAAAATTTTTTTACTTAAATTTCAAAAAGGCTAATAACTGTTCTATATCATTTATTTTTTAACTTGCTTTTCACATAAGTATCCCTTCATATGAGACTGAGGTCTCTACTTTGCTAAAACCAGCATAACAAATCCTGTTGTATAAATCAAAATTTTGACTCTGTTTTTTTTATTTATTTTTTTAAAATTTTATTTTGAATTTCACTTTTTTAAAATGATTTTTCCATTTCAGATGAGGAAATCGGCTGTTTATTTGCCTACCAAAGATCACCCATCAGAGCAAAGTAAGCAACAGTGTTTAGTGAAGACTTTTTTTAAAGATTTGAAATAGACGCATAGTTTAACTTGAAAATGACTAATCATATTATTTTATGACAATTTATTGATTTTTTAAACTTATTTTTAGTAATAGTTACAGAGAAAACAACGATTCTACTTCGATATCTTCAACAGCATTATGAGAAGAAGGTACTTTCATCATCTTTTCTTATTCATTACTAGTATCCATGCGAATCTTAAATTTAAATAGAAAAACATGGTTAATTAATAGAGGAAGTCTGTTGAGATTCAAATGAAATTTAAAAATTCTGTACTAGCTTGTGACACACAGAAGATGTAGAATAATAAGATTTTATTTGTAGATTCAAACATTCAAATAAATCATAGAAAGCATGAGTCTTGACAAAAACTCACAGTTTACAATGCTCATTTTGAATATTAAGGGGAGATATAGGGCCATCCATCCATCCATATATATATATATATATACNTATATATATATACTGTAAAAATTGTCTTCACTGATAAAGTTCATTTATCCCGGATTTTATGTTAAAGAAAAAAATTAAAATCATAAAAGAATTAAAATCAATATTTAGATTGATAATAATTACTAACTCATAGTTATTACCTGTAATATGAACCGAATAGGGATATGGGACTTATTAAGAGTGCCATTAGAAAAACCAATTAATAGTTCAAAAAATTTTGGCTGAATTTTTTATTTGTTATATATAATATAAATTATAAATATAGTAGTGTATAAATAAAATTTCTCCAAGGTCAAAAATGACATTTGACCCAGGTCTTTGACTGATTTGGACAGTTTGACACTTTTCAACCAGTTTTTGATGCGTCATGTCAAAATCAATTTTTGATATTACAAACCCAACTCTGTTATCATGTGACCTAGCGTTGATGCCAACAGCTAAATGTTTCATATTAATTGCTACAAATTATTAGAAAAGATACATATATGCTATTTACTTAATTGCGAAGTATATTACAAGAAGATACATGTTCATTCCTAACCCATGACATACATTAGACCGCTGTTTCTTCTGGCAAATCATCTCGCAACTACTGGAAGAGGTATAAACAAAAGCATCTAAAGTAGAAGCTTGAATTTTTATAAGTAACATCAGTCAGTCGTAGTTTTTGCATTTTTCATTCGACAAAACATTACAAACTTTCATCTATACTATTTACCTCACAGGAGAGGGCTTATTTTATGTCCGTGTCCAGTTCTTTCACTAATATTTATTATTAAACAGAAAAGTTTTGTACGTATGTGTCCTTGTAACTCCTAAACTATTTGTGCTAGGGCCTTGAAATTTTCCCTTAAATCTTAGAATCTTAGCCCCTTCCAAGTAATTATTTAAACTCTCCTTATATTTATATTGCATTTTGCCTTCTTCAATTTGTAGCAACTCGTTACCTCTACTATTCATAAATTTCATTACCTTAAGTATGCAATGCCATATTAAGACCATTTTTTGAATTTAAACTATATTTAATTCTTACCCATATCCCAAACTCTTTAAATAAATAGGTATGTATATATATTATTTTAGTTTCTACCAAACATTTAAAAATGCTTCAAAAATTGTAAATTGAGGGGAAATTGTTTTTTTAATACAAGGACGAAATATTTTCCTTAGTTTTTTAAACCATTTGTATATTTAATTCTGATGCTTAATGTTAAAATTATGTGCTAAAAATATCCCAATTTCATTTAAAAGTTTTTACTTGTATTATTTTTTCAGTGATAAATTCTTCATGGTGCATAGCGTTTTTAAAAAGTGCTTAATTTTTCCTTTTCGAAAATGAGATTTTTTTCTTTACCTTGTCAATTTTCACCACGTATTTTGCAAAAGTGTGCTTTTCACATTGTTCTATTCAAAGCTTTCACAACTCATTCAACTACAATATATTTCAGCTTACCGTCGGTCCATAGCGGTCCACAGTTTTAATGAAATACTAGTGAGCTGGATTCGGTGAGATTATTGCACTCTCATGTGCAACTCTGCTGCATTTTGCAAGATATTCTCAATTTCAAGCTGCATTATCCACCCTCTGAAATCGAACCGAAAAATCTCTTAATCATTTTTTAATAGCTAGTATAATCAAGAAAAGAATTCTTTGTCAAAAACTAGTTATTTATCATGATCATTTAAAGTCTTTGAAAATTATTTTGCATTTTGTTAATGTATATAGTGCTTAAAAAGTACTTATAAGGTGCTTTTTTGTTGTTGAAAGATTTGGCTACGTACCCTGTGCTTAAAAAAATAATTTGAAAAAAAATTTCTCAGCAATTTTATTATAAGCATAAATTTATAAAAAAAAGTTGATTCATTTTCAATTTTAATTTTTTTAAATAAAATTAAAAATGGTGTTTTGAACTTATTGCATACATTAAAATTTTTTATTTTATGTATCTGCATATTTTAAATTGTTTAATGTGTTTTATATATTTTAGAGAAATCATTTAAAGAGGGATACTGACTCTGCTGGTCCTAGTAATGGATTTGGAAATTCTAGGAAGCGAACTCGATTAATTGACGACGACTATTAAAGTAGGACCAAAAATAAACTTGTGTTCTTATAACCAAGTCATCATTTTTTTTGTTATGTTTGCTCTTTTTGTACTAAGCTTTTTGAAGTCCTTTAAAAACTTTTGTTGCCATTAAATTTTTTTGTCTTATTCATACTTACTGTTGAGTTGTATAAATTCTGAAACCATTTCTTGTGGTACTTGTTTTGTTTTCTTACCCTTATTCAATGACTTCTTTGTATTTAGTTTTGTTATTATTGGATGAATGGGTAATTTTTATTGTTTCTCTTGTAAGATGTCTAGAATAATTATGTAAAGTACGACTTTATATTTTCCTTTTTTTTTCTATGCGTGCAGCAAAATGTCTAGTACCAGATCTTCCTATCCATATGTGTCTTTGAATGACTATGCAATTTTTGTAAAAATTCTTACATATTGTTCATTCCAACGTATTGTAAAGACGATTCTACAATTAAATTTGTGTGCTCTGAAGAATTGTAAGTTTTTACTTCGTGACCTTCATTCTTATTTGTAGTTATGATCAAAGTCCCTTCACATAATAAAGCTACAGCTGTTTTGCTCTGCAATGTGTTTCCAAAATTATTTCATATTCTTAGTCAGGCCCACACAAGATCCCTTTTCGATGCCTTTCTTTTGCAATTTATTTTTATCTGCCTATTTTTGTGAAACATTTTAATTCAATCCAAGTTTTTGTAAATAAGTATAGTTTGTGAATAATAAATATTTGAAACATAAAATTATATATAATATGTATAAAATTATATATAATTAATATACATATTAAAAAAAGAAAATATATAATATTTAACTCATTGCAAGAACGCCTGCTGATTTGAAACAGGCTTTTCTAGTCCTGGAAAAGGAAGCAAGTAAAGTGCATCTTACAGTCAACCTGGAAAAAATGTTAACATGTAGTGCACTAAGGTAACAGACTCTGCTGTAATCTGTAAATTGGTACATATAAATTTGCAAAAGTTAATAGCTTTGCATATTTGAGTTCTGAGGTTAACATTGACAAAATCACATCGGAAATTCAGATATGAATCAATGCTTCCAACAGATGCTTTTATGGTTTAAAGAAATTATTATTAAAATCAAACTTAATAAAAAAAAAAAGCTAGCTGTCCAATCAGACCTTAACTCACATACTCATTAGAAACTTAGACAATGACTCAAAAAGATGAAAATACTCTTGGAGTCTTTGAGAGTGGCTGATACTAAGAGGTATTTTTGGAGGAATACAAGTTGATGGCTTATAAGTCAGAAGCTCAAATTTAGAGCTTTATTCTGCCTTCAAAGAACCTGGTGTCATAAAATGCATAAAAATACAAAAAATTAAGTGGGCTGGTCTTGCTAGAGTGAACAAAGAACGTCCCTCTGGATTAAGGACTGGGGGCCAACCCAACCTCAGATGGGTTGACGGCCTAGAGAGAGATCTCAAAATTTTAAGAGTGATTAATTGGAAGACAGTGGTCAAAAATAGAGAGGTCAGGAGGAAAATTCTTGAGAAGGTCAGGGCCCATCCAGGGATGTCGTGCCACTGAAGAAAAAGAATGTTTAACAGAAAGTTTGTTTTTAAGTTTCAAAAAGAGGCTACTCATATTTTATAGGTTGTAAATTATTTAGAATAATAACGAAAATTAAGGTTAAAAAATGGACACACTGTAGTTTTGATTTTATAAACATGAACCTTCCTCAGTGTCTAAACACAACTCAGTTCTTGTTTACAAAACTAAAACTATAGTATGGCCATTTATGTACTTTTATTTGAGCTTTATTATTGTTTTGCTTTATTCATACAAAGCACAAAGTATACTCTATCTTCATAATATATGAACTACTTTATTACCTGTTGTGCACAATTTAAAAATTAAATTGTCATGTACTTTAAAATTTTATTATTGTGACTGACAGTTTATATAAGTTAGCAGAAACATTTTTTTTTGTTTACTGTTTTTGTATGCAACAAATTTTACAGCTTTGTAAGAATATATTTCTGGTTTTCTTAATGCAGATGGTATATTTCTATAAAATACTTTTCTTAATTGTTTTTTCAAATTCTTCGTCACTTTTGGGACACCCGATAAATAGTTTATATATATTTAAAGCGAAAAAAATCAATTGTTTAAATGTTTTGCAGTTTTCAGGGTCTTCAAAAAATTAATCTATTACTTTAACTGAAATATTTATTAATATATTTTAGTCAGTTAAAATAAGATGACTTCATTTTGATAAATTTTCTGAGAAGCGCAAAATTTGCCTAGTTTGCATCATCCTTGCTCGGTGCACTCACCAACCCCTGAAACTGTTCTTGCAATTCAATTTAGATTGTTTCATAATTCAAGCTCAATTTGCTTTATGATTATTTGCATTCTTTTTTGCTTTATGGTGGTACTCTTTTTTAAAATGAAGTTATAAAAATATGCAACATGTACTTGCTATGAAACCTTCGATTGGCACAATTTATTCAATTTATATACATGACAATTTGATTCATATGCATTTCGGTGTAACTTGAAAGTTACCTAATTAGTTAAAATGATTAATTCACAGAATTTCATGTATAAACACCAAAGAGAAGAAAATGAAAAACAAAATCATAATGCATGATTTTTGACATCCATTTCTGACATCTCTATCCTGCGTTAATTATGAATATCTTTATAATATGTTATCTTTATAACTTAAATATAGATCTAAATTATTTTTGGACTTATGCAAATCAATAAGCATAATTAAAACGAAAACTGACTTTTTTATATGAATTGTTCAAATTTAATCTGTCATACATTCCCAATTCATAGCTCAGTTTATTTCAGCTTTTCGTGTCCATCTCGTGTGGACACATGAGAGAAGAATTTTCAATCAGAAATAAGTAAACATGTAGGTTAAGGCGTTCATACTTGTGACTGCTCACACATATGATATTTTAGTTAAGTGTTCTTATCTCCCATAACAAAAAGGAAACTTCATCAGTTATTTAACAAATTACATATGTATGTTTTATATAATATGGATTATAAAGCTGTAGGAAATACAGCATGGTAATTTTGGTATGATAAGAATTATGGTATGCATACCCTTAAAAGTTTTAGTGCTTACTTATCTTTATTTAAAGATATCATACTCAGACCTGCAAATAACTACTCACCAGGGTGCAATTCATAAAAATAAAAAAAATGGTGACTTAAACTGAGCAAACAGCTGCTCACTCTTTTTTATAATTTTTTTAATTTATTTTCTTTAACCGTTTAATGATGAAAGTACATCTAACAGAATTTTCATTAAAGCGTCCAATGTCTTCTTTAAAATATTTGATTTTTTTTTAATCCATCAATTTTTAACAAAAAGATTCATATGAAAGAACAGTTCTTTAAAAATTCACATATTTCAAAGTTTTAATGCTTACATTAAATGTATTTCACTTCTTCAAATATTTTTAAATAAAGTTTTTAAGTCAGTATGTTAAACATATTTCGTCCCATATTTATGTTGTCAAATTAACTTTTTATGGCCGGAGATTATTTCTAATATGATTTTTTTTTTCAAAAAGTATAATTTTATCGAAGTTTGCAAAAAGTGGCTATTAAATTAAAAGCACCTATAGATATTGACCACTGTTTTAATAGGTTTGTGGAAAAAGTGGCTATTAAATTAAAAGGACTTATCGATATCAGCCACTGTTTCATTAAGTTTGCAGAAAAAGTGGCTATTAAATTAAAAGGACCTATCAATATCGGCCACTGTTTTATTAAGTTTGTAGAAAAAGTGGCTATTAAATTAAAAGGACCTATCAATATCGGCCACTGTTTTATTAAGTTTGTCGAAAAAGCGGCTACTAAGTTATTAGAATCTACCGGCCAGTAGTTACTAACTGAAAACTTGAAATGTCAGGTTTATTATTACTGTAATTGCATTGAGACATTCTGAAATGAGTTTCCTGTTAAAATACACCAAGTGACTATTAAATCATTATTTTTTATTTTTTTTTAAAAAACATGTAACATTTTTAGACATTTCATAACAAAGTACACAAATTAACATATATTTGTACAAATTTTGATTTGATATTGAATAATATTAATGAACCTTTTTATTTTTTACAAAAGTCATATGTACACCTTTTCACCGGGGGATATTCACCCTAAAGCATAAAGCAACATTTAATAAATAAATAAACAATAATAATACAAAGTTTTTTGAGTAACTGCATGAATTTGTTCTCTCGGTATTTTTCTATGCTAATTATGCATCACATTTGCAAAACACTTAGCTAGAATCATTTTTGTTAGTTAAGCTTAATAACTGTTTTAAATTAAAAGCCTTTAGCATTTTTACAAAAACAAATATTATGATGATTTATATGTGATAATCAAAAGTAATGGAGGAATAGTGTAATTTGTTTCAATTTGATAATTAGAAACAGGTGATATAAGCTATGATAATTTTTGCAATGAAAATAGTTTAGTTATGGAATGTAATCAACAATAATACTTATACAGTCTAAAGAACAATAATAAGAGCAATAGTTTATATAAGCGGAAATGGACTATTTCAACAAAAGTCAATTAATACAGCCACAAAACAAAATACTATTTACATATAATGAAATACAATGTTTAATATAAATAAAATGGAATGTATTTTTCGCATTTGTCATCTATAGATGTCATTTTGTAGTTTTAAAATTACTAAATTTTCACAAAATATTATATTTTATAATTTTTTCTTTTTTTTTACTTATAAAGGAAAATAAATAAATAGAGGGTCCTAAATTGAGAATCCTGTTTCCTTCAAAAATGAGGTCTGAAGAAACTAAATACTTGAGTAGTTGCATTTTCACAACCTTCTACTAAAGTTGGAGAGTTGCATCCTTGTATCTTTTTGTCAAAGACCGTACCTGGTGGGCAAGAGAATTCATATGGCAAGAATGAACTGCCATTTGGACCGTGAACTTGTACGCAAGAATGAAATTTTTGGCAGTCTGCTGGATCTCTTTGAAGGCCAGATTGGCGACATTCAAAACTTGGTGTGTCGACTGGATCATGATTTGGATCTTGAGACGTGGAAGGTGGTGTCCAACTTGTTGATGGTCGGGGAGTTGTAGTGGTTGTTGTTGTAGTAGTGGTGGTTGTAGAAGTTGTTGAAGGTGGTTTTGTTTCTTGGCTAGTTGCAGTTGAAGCTGAAGGTACTGTTGCTGGTGGTTCAGGAGGTAAAGGAAGAGCCACTGATGGGTTGGCAAACTCTTCATTGATTGCAGTTAATAAGGGATACTTTTTGCCATGGCATTTTCCATGGAAATCATCTGTTTCTATGGACCACACCATACCTCCTCCCAGTTTGTAATATTTGGCATAATTGACCTGGATAATAAAGATATTTTATGAGTACATATTTCTCTAAATGAGGTGCACAAATGTACCAAAGAGAGAAAAATAAAGCAAACAATTTCATGCTTATAAGTAAATATATTTCTTGTTATTACTTATTTTTTTATGTAATTTATTGTTTGCTTAAGTTTATTTTTTCTTTTCTTTTTTTTAACATTTAGGATTTTAAAATACTATATGCTAGTTCTGCCATATTATTTAGGTTACTGTATTTTTGCTTTTTATAAGTTTTGAAAAGTTTTTACAGTATTTTTTCTTTCCTAATTTACAAGAGAGTTTTATCACTTGTGTTTCTTTCGTAATATATTGTATTGTTCATTTCCTTAGTTGCTTACATAATATTCAAAACGCTCCTAAAGTGGTAGCAAAAATATTTTTAAGTTGCAAAAAAAAAAAAAAAAAAAAAAAAAAAAAAAAAAANAAAAAAAAAAAAAAAAAAAAAAAATGGAGACTTGGGGTGACTTAGTTATAATAACTAAAAATATTAGTTGTATAGTTATTTTATTCTAAGGGCTTTTTTAAAATACAAAATGCTTATTCTAACATATTGTTTTGGCTACTGCCTTAAGTTTCATGAATTTTGAAAAGTAATGTTCATTAGGATGAATTTAACTCATTATTTCCATGAAAAGGAAAAATTGTAGGGCTTGAGGTAAAATAATGATAAGCATGTTTTCAAATTATTCAGATCAGAGAGTTTGGTATAAAAAAAAAACACAATACTCAACTAGATATATCTCTGTGTATAATGTTGTTAAAAATAGGAAATTTATGAGAACAATATTAAGGAGCAGTTAGGATTTAAAATGTCACCTTAGAAAAAACTGTGACTTCTTTTAATATAAGTTTAAATATGCATGTCGCTTTGTACTACTCACCTTAAGTCTGATACTAGCTTCATTATCATATCCTACCCATTGCCTGTCTTGATAAGCATAAGGAGCCATGTAAAAATCATCCCATACTATATTCCATTTTTCTTTCTTTTGCATGTCACAGATCTATTGAAAAGAGAAAAAAAAATCAGTAGTGTATTGAAAGAAATCTGTAAAAGAATTAATTTTTATTTTCAACTTTTTATTTTCAACTAATTCTTATTTTTGGGTTCATATGATTATTTTATATGTAAATTCAACCGCATGTTGTTAATAAATGCAGCTATAAAAATTATTATTATACAGTAAAATATGTATTTTATTAAATGAAAAGCGTGAAAGCCACTTTTAAGTTTATTCTAAGTAAGGAAATTATTTTGATTCTTAATATAATTCAGTACTTTTTAATTGCGCCATTGGGATTTTTTTCTTAATATTTTTTTCCGAATAACATGTATCATATTTATTATTATTTTAGGAAAAACAGTTCTGCAAGGCTCATTGTTCATTTTCAACTTTTTTAATCAAATAATTTTTTAATTTTTTTTAAAAATATCCAAATTAAATTTAAAGTAAAAAGCATTAAGCATTCTAGGAATTCATCTGCACCTTGCAAAAATAATAATAATAAATAAAAAATAAGATCATAATTATTTGTTTTTTAATTGAAAAAAAAATAATGCCATTAAAACAGGTATTATTAATGAGTTGGTTAATGGCTTTCTAACGATTTTTATGGTAAATATTTTTATATCTAATTTTTGTGTGGATCGTATGACAGTATTATTCTGCAATAGCTGAAGTTGAAATAAAATGTCAGAGAGTACATGCTTGTACTATCCTATTAGTTGTGTTTGTACAGTAATGAAAAATTAATTTCAATTGTTTAGTTTTTATCTAATTTGAAATCGTATGTCTTGGTATATAAGTGGACTCCGTATTCTTGATTATGAGATAGCATGAGTTCACAATTGTGTGTGTATTTGTATACATTAGTGCAAATCGATATATCGCAAAACATCGGTATTTCCATGCATCGCGATAATGGTAAAAGTATCCTCACCGTGTAACTTGAATACCTTGTTTCACGATAAATATTGAATATTTTATAATTGTGGACAATAAAGATCGATATCGTCGATAATTCAAAATTTTTTCAGTTGTGTATGCATTTGTGTACACACGATAATATATCGTAAAACATCAATATTTTTAAACATCGCAATAACAGTATTTTAATAATCATTTTTACAATAAAACTTGAATACCATGTCAAATAAAAAATGTCGAATATATCATAATTTTGAACAGCAAATAATATTGCGACCATCAATGATTTCTGATTCTATCTATTTTGTGTATATTTGAATATAATACAGCTGAATGATATTATGATATTGTGAAACATTAAATATTATGCAAAATTTCGAATATACTAAAATTATAGACTATGCATATAGAGTGTACTACAAAAATGTTTACCTATGTAAAAATAAAGTAAATTATTTAAATTCGAAAATATCGTGATATATTTAGAAATATAAATATTTCCTTACGATAAATCGTGATATTAAAATTCCTATATCATATAGAATTGGTATCTAAAATTCTGATGTCTCAGGTGTATAAGTCAATTGCTGTCTGTAAGTTGTTAATTATTTCTATAGACGTTATGTGGCAAAATGCGGATTCAAATCTTATAAAATATTTTATGAAAAACGGAATTTCGAGTTTTTTTATGGTGTAGATGTCTTTTTTTTTGTAGGACTTAAAAAATGAAAATGAAGTAGAATTCATTGGAAAGTAAGATATGACAAAAATACTAACGTAAATGAATCTGACACAAATGTTCTAGAATTTTTGAATTTGTAGCCTGGTATGTTTTAAGAGTTTTCATTATGTTCCTTTTTTAAAATAATCTTGAATAAATTGTCTTGACTTTACTTTTTTTTTCAAAACGTAATTTAAAACTTTGTTTCTATAAAAATCTTTACATGTAAAGAAAATATGATGAGAGAAGATGCAAAATTAATTGCGTATTAAAAATAGTTTTTGCAAGGGGTAATTTATAAGGGTTAATTGATAGAGAGTTATTCATATCTATCTCCTTGTTTATGATGTATCGATATTTCATGATCAATACATGTTCGATTTTATTACTGGTGTAAAGTCAATCCCCTGTTTTTTGTAAAATTTTGGGAGTTTGAAAAGTTGACATACACACCAGTATGTACTGCGGTATTTGATACATATAGTTGTTTATAATATGGTTGTCAGATCAAATCTTGAGCTTTATCACTCATATAATGAACCTGACATTATTAACTTTATTGAACGACAAAGAATAAAATGGGCAGGCCACGTTATCAGAATGGACGAAGACCATACCAGAAAAAGAGTTTTCAATGACAGACCAGTTGGCACCCAAAAAAGAGGCGAGTCGAAATTTGAGATGGATAAATGGCCTAGAAAAAGACCTTTTGGTCTTAAAGACTAAAAATTGGAAAACACTAGCAAAAAAAACTTCTTGAGAAGGCAAAGGCCACCATGGGCTGTCGAGCCATTGATGATGATGAATATGGTTTTAACTTACTTCATTGTATCCTAAGGAACCAGGTTCTCTAGTATAAGGCCCAGCTCTTCCTTTTTGCGGAGCTGAAGCATTTAACCCATGGTTTTCGGATTTTTGAAGTGTAAATGATCGTCCATAGAGCCCCATTCCCAAAACAAGTTTTTCTCTTGGAGCTCCCTTTGATATCCATTCGTTAATTGAAAAGTTCTGAAAAGAGAAAATCGAGAATAAATATTTAATAATTCTTTTCAGTTACGATGATTCTACAGGGTATTTTAAAATTTGTATCCTTCCATCTTTTTGTTTAAATTTCAATAAACGTGCTTTACCAAGTATATTATATTAGTTTTATTACCAACTAATATGTTTTTTATGCAACCTCAAAAACCATAGAAAAATTCCAATTTGGTTTTTCTCAAATTTGCAGCTTGAAATTTGTTTTTAAATATTATTAGCAAGTGCACTAATACTAATGTTTAAAATTAAGGAATTATAAAATAAAATGAACGTCTGTGTCCAATGATCTTATTTTTTTAACTCTTTCTCATTCCCGTAAAAAAAAAAAAAAAAAAAAAAAAAAAAAAAAAAAAACGGTAGGGTAAACCAACCAGTGAAGGAACACTACCCAGTGAAGGAACATTTCATATATATTGATTAAAAATAAGAATTTGAAAGTATTTTTTTAGATTGATTGGTAACAATAGCTTACTGCTAAACAATAGGAAATCATCTAGCAATATTTTGAATTACCTGGTCAAATAGACTTCTCTGGAAAAATTTTTGAATTTGTTATTATCTCTGCTATTAGTATTTGTTATTAGTGTTTGTATTTATATGTTTGAGGTGGAATTAATTGCATGTAATAGTTTTATTTATCTCATTGTGAAAAAGAGAATTCAAAATATAGTTATTGAAGTTACGTTTTATTTTTTTTAAAGCACCATAGCATAATCAAGTACTGAGATAAGGGGGTGTTTATTCACTGGATCACCAAACGATGAAAAACCAGTGAAGGAACAAGTGTTCCTTTACTGGGTTTTTCTCCCAGTTAATGAAAATAAAAGAAATTTTTTAATTTTCTTGTACTTTTAGTCATATTATACATCAAAATTCTGTTTAAAAGACAAAAAACAACTTCCAACCAGTGAAGGAACAGGCATGTTCCTTCACTGGATCACCAAACGATGAAAAACCAGTGAAGGAACAAATGTTTCTTTACTGGGTTCATTTCTCAGTTAATGAAAATAAAAGAAATTTCGTAATTTTCTTGTACTTTTAGTCATATTATACATCAAAATTCTGTTTAAAAGACAAAAACCAGCTTCTAACCAGTGAAGAAACAGGCATATTCCTACACTGGGAATACTTCCAGTGAATGAACAGTAATGTGTGATATATGATTTTACATGACTCTAGGATAAGTAATTCTGCTATATAGAGGACAACCGAAATTTTGTTAAAAATTGTATGAATAATTCCTGAAATAATTTCAGTTCAAAATGTTAATTTAATAGCTTAATTTATGAAAAAATTATAATTTATATTTATTAACGGGGTGTGTAGTTACATCAAATGTTAGGCAACTTAATAAACTATGTTTACAAATCGAAAACTAATTAAATATAATCATAAAAATAGAACATTTTTTCGCTGGCTTTTGCACCAAGAACTCCTAATAAGCTATCATTATAGGATAGCAACGTGATTATATAATTTATAGAAACTACTTTACAATGTTAGAATTTAGAAGTAAGTTCCTCAACAAAAAACAAAGTTAAACAGAAACGATACTCAATTTCTTCAGAAGCTTGAGAGGGAAATCCCTCAAGATATGTTGTAAATTTTTAACACAGCATTGACGGAAGAGTCTAATATCGAAAATGTCCAAGAGCCTGTACTTTTTTCAATATGGAAGAAGCACGTATTAAAAGAAGACCACTTGGTTAAGTCAAACTTAGGAACTGAAGCTAGTATTGATAATGAATGCATATTAGATATCGAATTTGAAATGAGTCCTCATGCTGATTCTCTTAGTTGAAAAAAGAAATGATTCTGTAAGTAAAATCAGTACTTCTAAAGATCCTCTAGATATAAGTCAACAAGAGATGGATTTGCCTCAAACTTCAAGACACCTTTCCCCCGTCTATTTTCGAGAAAGGCATTCTAGAAATGTTGCTGAAAAATCAGAAGAAGTTTGGAAGAACCATTTACATTGGCCAAATATTGATGATAAAAAGAAAGGTCAAATAAGAAGAAAAACGAATAAATTACCTTTTGCACTAACTTCAGAGAAATGGCAAAAATTTCAAGAGGCTGAAAGATCTAAAAAAAGTTAAAACAAGAGAACATGGAAAAGAAAAAGAAAGAAAAAATACTTAAAAAAGAAAAAAAGCTTCAAGAAATAAGAGGAAAAAGAGTAAACAAAAAGGTGATAAAATAATAATGATAATAAACAGCATCGGATGACATAATGATTTAGATTTGACTGTCAAATTATAAGAAAGAATGTTTTTTTTTATTTATTTTGTATTTAACATCACTTTAATTTCTAGTTCATGATTACAGAAAAAAGTTAGCATTTTACAAGTACTTGTATGTTATAATTTCACAAATAGTCTTGTTTTTATATATTTGTATGCCTAAAAAATTCATAAAGAGCATTAAAAAATAACCAAAATTAAGTGTTCCTTTACTGGGCAATTTTGTGTTCCTTCACTGGGTAGAGCTGTTCCTTCACTGGGTCTTCTTACTACTTGTTATTTGAACCTCCAAAACTTTAAAACAATATTATGTAAGTTCTCTACAATTTTTTTGCATAGTTTGCAATTAGTAACAAATATGTTGACACTGTCATTTAACTGAAATTACGAATTTTGAAATTAATATGATTTTTTAAAAGGCAAGCGAAGCTTAAGTGTTCCTTCACTGGTTAGTTTACCCTATACAATTTCCCTCTTTATTTCCCGTGCTTGTGATGTTTCCAGGATGGAGTGTTCAAAAATATTACACCATAAAAGTTTGAAACACCCTATTTCTCAATCTACCACCGGGTGGCAGTACCAAACTATTTTCAGTTTGCTTAGAGATGGTTTATTTTAAACTAGGTGAACTAGAACACTCATCATAATTTCAAGTTCAAAATTAAACCAAAAATTAAAATTGAATATATATATTTTATCTATCCTTAGTTTTATATAGCTTTCGTCAATAAAAAAATAATTTCTTTTATGACCGTTTTCTCAAAAATTATGCAAGCATTAAAGGTTCAACTTGAAAATGTGTTAAAAAATATTATTAACTAACTTTAGCTAAAATTAAGTTTTATTTTGTATTTTAAAAATAACAGTTTTTTATTGTTCTGAATCAGCCCTAGTTACGTACTTTGATAGTTGTTTAAATGCTATGACAATTATATTGATTATTGATTTGTCTTAACCACATTTATGTAATTGCAATGAATTAGTTGTATTTTGCAACTGTTCTTAGAAATACTTTGAAATAAAAAAATTATTTTTCTTTAAATTTCAGAAACTTTCATTAAACTATGCCAAAAAAAACCAAAAAAAAAACAGTTTTTTTTTTTTTTAAATGCGCGATTGTTGAATTATTTGCTTAAAAAATTGTATTTATTTTTGTTTTAAAAATATTATTATGTTTTAACATACTGAGATGCTTAAAAACCATATACTTTAAATTGAGGAAAGTCTTTGTTAAAAAATACTGAAAGATAATTGCTAACAATTATTAATGCAAACTCACTAGACAATTACAATATATTTACCAAATTAAGCATTTGATTTTCTTTGCTCTCGTCTGGTCTTGCGTACAAAGGAGCATTGTGTCCTGTAAAGCTTTCCCAGCCCCCATGATAATCATAACACATCACGTTAATGAAATCTAAATACCTGTGAGAACAAAGAATTGAAAGGTTTATATAAAGAAAAAAAACTAATTATTTGCTTCAGTGAAAATTATATTGTTTAATGATTACTGTAAACAAGTAGGAATACATTTGAAAAATTTAAAAATAATGGATATCACTAAAAATAAATACTTATGTTGTTAAATTTTACATCTTAACAAGTGTATTCATATTATCAATGGGTTTTTGTTGAATTTGTAAGCACTTTAAAGCAGAAGTGCTCAATACAGTGACGAACGTCACCGAGCAATCACAGTCCCTGCCAAACAATTTATTTTTGAACCAGAAATATTTATGACAACTACATTGAAAAACAATTTATATCCAAGTTGCAAAAAACTATTTATATAATGTTAAAAGCTTTTATTTCATTATTTAGCACTGTATGCATAATTTGATATTTGATCGATTAAGGTTTCCTTCGTGCTCAAATTTATTTTTCAAAGCAAAACATCATTAAAGAAAACAGCAATTTAAGTAGAGGGAGTTGTTTACTTCGGACCCATATAACATTCCATATATTCGGACCCATAGAACATTAATTGGGTACTTGCAACTCAAGAAAAAGTGAAATGATTATGCCTAACTATGTGATTTGAATCAGATTTGATTGGATACTCGAAAGCGACATCACGTGTATGTGTTCAACCTGATTGGCTTCTCAATCCATAAAGATCGTGATTTAACTACGATGACTTCATTTGCAGATCATTGCACGATGACCTCATTTGCGAAACTATTAGAAAAGCTAAAGGTGCGTATTTCGCCCTAAAAGCTATCCTCAATAAAGACTCAAAACTCAACCTTGCCAATAAAAGGACCATATACTTACAGGCTATCAGACCTATACTAACTTATGCTTGCCCAGCCCTAACCACAATTAGTAACAACTTAAAGAATAAACTATCAAAAACAGAGGGCAAAATACTCAGATATATGACAGGAGCTCCAAAGGCAATTAGCAACAGACTTTTAAGAAAAGATCTCAAAATAGAGGATATTAACTGTTATATGGCTAAACTTAGCACAAAATTCTTCAGCGATGCTAAAGAGTGCAATACCTCCAACTTCAAACAAATCTTTAATTTAGAACTCATTAGGGAAAACAGCAATCATAGCCGACTAACGGCATTCTTATTATCAGACTGCATAATTTCAAAACTATAAAAAACATAGGGCACAAACACACACAGCATATCCACTGGACTATGGCAAACCCAGTGAAGGAGTAACTCTGAAAAAGGGTCCGATCCGGGCAAGCCATAGCTCCATTAAGTATAGTACAGTGAGCAACCCGGAACGAGTGGTGATCTACCAGGACGACCGGGTCACTGTTTTAGCAGAGCCATATTTTTATTTTAGACATTTGTTGAATAACATAAACATGTAAATAGCTATGTAAATATCTTGTATATATACTGTATTTTTAATCTTAATGTTAATTATGTTTTATCAATTTATGTTATCATATCCATTTGTTAGTTCTTATCTTTTTTTTGTATTTCTTATTATTGTTTTTAACGATGGGGGAATTCCCCCTATATTGCTTAGCATAAGACTTATATCCTATGACCTGAGAGCATAATGCAAACTAGTGTAGACGAATCGGTAAGTGGCGCTTCGCGCCAAACACCGAGATACAACCCATATCAAGCATCAAGTTGCAGGTATCCAATCATCATAAGTCTTGTTGCAGTAAATATGATTCATGCTCAAACATCAAAAATCGATGTCTTTTAAATTAATTTGCTGGTAATTCATTACTTCAAGTCCAAGTGATTAAATTATGTTCTCGATTTGACAGAAGTTTTTTTAAAAAAAAAAAAAATGATTAGCTCAAAGTTTTGGACGACAATTTGATTTTTATGATCGCTGACTTAATCGATCCTAATCTATAGACTGTTCAAGCTTGATTATTCAAAAATTATATCGTTTAAGAAACTCAATCAAAATTATCACCATTCATCATATGCCGAAAGATAACGCGCATAAATCGAAAACATTGTTTTCCTCCCGAAAACAGTGCCAATTTCAAAACTCTGTTTTTCCCCCACTGCAATGTTATGCTACTTTTGACAAACGAAATGTGTGCCAGCCTTTCCTTTATCTACTATGTTTTTGAAACAAATCATATGATTTTACTTGATTTAAAACAACATTTGCTTTAAAAGTACAAACTGGAAATAACAGGCGACCTGTTTTTTTTATCTTTTACATCTGTCTGGCAAGTCTTGAAAATAGGCGTCTGTGTTTGAAGCGCTTGAAACATGTTGACTGTTGTTTCCAATTTGTATATTTTTGAGGAGAATGAAGTTTTTAATCAATTAATATCTTACCGCTTCAGTTTTTAGGGATTATTTATTTAGCTTCATTTCATACCTGCAATCCTGCGAATGTGAATTAATTTTGGTTTATTGAAAGTGCATGGATCTTTTTTGAATAAAAAATAAACCTTACAAGCAAGCTTGATACCATTTACATAATATAATTAGAAAATATGCACTGGGTGAACAAAATGGATAAAATAACAACTTCGTGGACAGAAATATACTTACTGAGATACTTGTGGTATATCATAAGCATCGTCCATAGTATGTTTTCCAGCTGACACAGCTGCTGTTAGTAATAGATTGTATTTTTGAAATTCGGCTTTCAGTTCCTAAAAGAAAAAGAAACAAAATGAAAAATTGGAACTTTGTGCGTGTAAATCATAGAGTAAATGCGGTATGTATTATGATATCATTTAAAAAGAAATTGACATTTTTTTAATCTATATAAAAAATTTTTTTTTCAGAATAAGAAGCTTGATATATCTTTTATTTAACTTAGTTTTATACTTCAAAGTTCTCATTTTAGTTCGAGAGGAACTTTTTAATTAATATAGCAACGAGAATATATTCTTTTCACTACTTTTTTCATTGAAATATAGCGAAATACGCAAAATTAACATCAATGGGTCCAAACATTGGACCGTTCTCCTGAACAAACAAGATGGAACATATTTCCAGATTGCGCTTACTCCTTATATTTTATTAATCAGAAATCCGAATCAGTCTAGAAAAGGTATGTTTATTCGAGGAAAGTGCGTTTTTATGTCTGATTTCGTAATTTAAAGTATTGTCTACTTTTATTAATTAGCATGTTTGATGTCACCCCTTCGAACCATTAAGATTGAGTCCTGGAACATTGAAAATCCGATCAGTTGATCAAAAGTTATTCAAGGTGGTTCGTTTATTTTTTTGCTCACTATACGAAATTCGTCAACGATTTACCGTGTGTGTCCAAATGTTATCATTGCATTTTTAAAAGAAAAAAGAACTATGGATATTATGATTAACTTACTCTCAGTAAAGCAACAAAGTTTTGTTTGTCTTCAGGTTTTCCACCTCTGGTAGCTGGATACTCCCAATCCATATCCAATCCGTCAAAGTTATGCTTCCTCACAAACTCGACAACGCTGTCAACGAATATTTTTCTCGTCGAAGCCGATGCTGCCATGTTGGAATAGCGAGTAGAACCTTCGTTCCATCCTCCGATGGCAATTATAGTCTTTAACTCGGGATTAATTTGCTTGAGTCCAGTAAATCTCTTAAATGCACCTAATTATATAACAGACAAATTTCAATTATTAAATTTTATACTGACGTATTTAAGTAATAGAGTTTGCATATTATATGCTTACATATCATTGCTGACATTTATAAATCTTCAAGTGATAAACACATTTTGATGGGTCAAAATCCCATTGCTTTTAGACTAATTCGAACAAATGTTAAGTTTTTTTTCAATGTATAGCATAAATAAGCGTCAGTTTTGTTCAACAAATTCTCCATGAGTCGCGGTGGCTCAGATGGTATAGCGTTGAGGCAATGAGGCAACCTAAGATCGAATCCCAGCGATTGCTGGTTGATACGAATCCTGCTCCCAGATCGCACCGATCACCAAAGTAAAATATAAGTGGTAGACGGATCATGGATTTGAATCCTCTTACCATCGGGCTAACAGTGGAAGGTTTCCATGGTTAATTTGTTTTAGTGTTTGATCCAAGAGTTCCCTTGTCTTCTGGGTTGGGTTCAAAATTATAGGGCTACGAAGTTGAATATTGATAGTCGTTTTCTCAGAATTGGCTCGACTCTTCAACACCGATTATAAAACGAAATTAAAAAAAAAATCCTTAATGATGGTATGTTTGTTCAACACATGACTAAATAAATTTTTGTTTTCTGAAGTTTAGAATTTTAGAAGTTCAGTTTCGTTTGAGTTTAGAATTTAAACCTAATTTATGGTTTATTGCAAAGAATTCATCCTCAAATAGGACGACGACTATGAAACAAAGCCAGTGCATAAATTACATATATTAATTTGTGTGAATAGTTGCAAAGAGTTATTGCGTAGTTTTTTAACTTTGAATATTTTCACACTTTATAAATCCCATAAGGAATTTACGTTATGTATGGTACTGCTATTTTGCGTTAAGTTTTTTGATATTCTGTTAACATAATGATAAAAATATACATTTTTTAAAGAAAAGAAAACTTTTTCTTCTTGAGCAAAAATGATGTTAAGACTTGAATTTCCATATAAAATAAGAATGCTGTATTATTAAAAGATTCAATTTACCATTCATTCTATATTCATTTATAATTTCTGTTTAAAAAAAGCTAATTAAAAACACTTATTTAATCGGTGTGGTAAGCATTAATGTTGATAGCGCACTATCATAAATAGTTTTTAACTCAACAATAATTTTCTTGAATATATTAAAAGAAAAAAAAAAGATTTCTTAAACTTGAAATGAAATATTTCATTGCATACACCCGATCTTTTTGTATGTATGTCCGAATCCGAATTAATTTCTTAAACGAAAATGTAACAAAAAACTTAAATATGTGTACAAAAAAATTCAATGAAATTAACTTTACTTCATTATTTTATTTTTTATGTATAATACATTTTATATAATTATAAATAAATATGTTAGTAAAAATGTTAACACAAATGTACATGAAAATGTTAATAAAAAAAAAAACGTTACTTAAAATAATCATCAAAATGTTAAGTAAAATGTCAATAAAAATGAGTTATTGACTCTAGAATTCCGGCCGGGACATACCCTGTCCCGGGATTTACGGGAGTACCCTGTCCCGGGATTATTGGGCTTACGGCGGACATTTGCTGTCCCATCAATGAAGTCCCGCAGTGAACTGATCGTTAAGACACGGTTCCCAGCAGATCACCGAAGTCAAGCATCACTGGCCGCGGTCAGTGTGCGGGTGGGTGACCACTTGGATCAGTCTGCGTAGGGACCGAGGGTGTGCGGTATTGGTCCTCGTTAAACTGTGCTACCGTAAAGTGCTCGACTTCGCGCGCAGGTCGTTGGGCTACCGAAGCGGGGGTGCCATCCCCTCCGCAGAGGATCAAAATTGTGAAGGCATGTCTTCGGATCATCCTCCGGGATGTTTCCCAGACCGTCGCCAATAGCCCATTGTGCAGCTCTAGTGCGACGTAAATTAACAACAACGTATAATACATTTGAATCTTGGTGTTTCGTCGTTTATTATTATATATTACATATCTTGGATACCTTTACGGGAGAGCAATGACTTACATTATAAAATATATGAAGTCAAATATTATATGGTATTGAAAAAAATTAATTTGGATATAAAATTAAAAGTACAATGGTTATAACAAAAAAATTAATTTACCTTTTCCATAGTTCTCTTCTAAATCATAATATGGGTCAAGGCAACGGATTTTGTTGTCAAATCCAAGACCCACGAATCCATAAACAAGATGCGTACAAATAAAAGGATCTATATTTTCGACAGGAAATTTCCCTTCATCTGGTCTGTAGACTGCCCAACTTCCATAGTAACACACTACTTTGTACTTGTGAGATGAAGCTGAAAAAATGTTTTGTAATAAATCATTAGCAATACTACTTTGCGTTCTATGGTGGTAAAAATTATAAATCAGTTGGTTAGTATATCGATAATTCAAGGTTAAGTTATACTAGCTTACATCTTACTTTCAAACATGAAATACAATTTATGATATTACTCTCTGACTTTTTTAAAACCATTATTTTCAGAGGAAATAAAGTTTTTTTTTCATGTAGTATTAAGTTTACATGCAAAAGTGAATTTTCCGCTATTATAGTGTTCATGGCAGAAAAATACATTTAATCATCCTCGCAAGCGAAACAGCTATATTAAATTGGGATGCATTTCAGTGCCAATTAATTTTAAACTTGCATCTTTCGAAATTAAAATGCAATTTACAATATTGCTGCAAGAGTAATACCATTATAAGAATAATAAAGAAGCATTCCATAAGAACAATTTAAATTATTTAATTTACTGTAGAAATGTATTTTTAATCTTACAGTGATCATGTAAGGAAGGCATATTTCATCTTCTTCTACGCAAGTAAAGCAGTAACATTTATTGGGACAAATTTTAGTGCTATTACACTTTAAAACTTTTCATTTTGCTTTCAAAAAAGCATGCAATTAGCAATATTGATGTTAGAAAAATTAACATTATTTCTCACATTTTTAATGCCATTATTTTACAGAAGAAGAGCTTGAATAAGAGCGTTTCTAGTTTACTGTAAAAGAGTTTTTTCCTGCTCTTACAGTGTTCATAAAAGGAAGACGTATTTCATTTTCTACTACTCAAGCAAAACAGCAACATTTACTGGGATGCATTTCAGAGTTATTCCATTTTAAACTTACCTCTTTCGAAAATAAAATACGATTTACAATATTGCTTAAAGAATATTACCATTATAAGAATAAGAAAGAATTTAAACTAAAATATTTAGTTTACAGTAAATGTGTTTCTTCCCTCTCACAGTAATCATGTAAAGAAGGCATATTTCATCTTCTTTCACGCAAGCAAAGTAGTATTATATTCTAGAATTTATTTTACTGCTTTTCCGCTACAAACATCTAATTTTACTTTAAAAGTGGAAAGCCATTTACAAAATTGATGTAGGAGCATTAACATTATTTCTCTTTCTTTTTTTAATGCCATTATTTTGTTTAAGAGCTTGAATGAGAGTATCTTGTTTACTATAAAAGTGTTTTTTCCGCTCTTGTAGTATTCACGTACGGAAGACATGCTTCCTCTTTTCTCAATGAAGCAAAACAGTAGCTTTTACGGGGACGCATTTTAATGCTATTCCGTTTTAGACTTACACCATTCCAAAATAAAATACAATTTGCAATGTGGCTGTTAGCGTATTACCATTATAAAAATAATAAAGAATTTCGTATGAAGAATTGAAGTATTTGGATTACAATAAAAGTGTCATTTTTCATTCATACAATAGTCATATAAAGAAGGCGAAAACAGTAGCACATATGCTGGGATGTATTTTAGTACTATTCCATTTCAAACTTCTATTCTTGATTTTTAAAGCGGAATACAATCTACAATGTTGCTGTAAAAGTGTTAACATTATTTCTTCCTTATTTTTAAGGCTGTTATTTCACACCTGAACTTGAATAATTTCTTGAACCTGAACTTGAACTGTAAACGTGTGTTTTTTCCCGCTTTTATAGTGTTCATGGAAGGAAGACAAATTTCATAGTCTTCAGCGCAAGTGAAATGCGTGTATCCACTTTAGTGATATTCCATTTTAAACTTACATCTTTAGATTGTAAAATACAATTTACAATATTACCACAATCATATCAGAATGAGGAAAAATTTCATAAAAAGAATTTAAATTAATGCATTTAGTTTTACCGTAAAAGTGTTTTTTTTTTCATTCTAACAGTGGCCATGTAAGGAAGCCATATTTCAACTTCCTCCTCTTAAAGAAAACAGTAACAAATACAGGAACGTATTTTAGTGCTATTCCATTTCAAACTTCTCTTCTTGATTTTTAAGTGGAATCCCTCCCTCATTTTTAAGGTCTTTATTTCACACTAGAACTTGAACAAAGTATCTAGTTTACTGTTAAAGTAGTTTTTTTACTTTCTTAGTATTTATGTAAGAAAGATTTGTTTCATCTTTTTCTACGCACTCAAAACAGTAGCATTAAGAGTATGCATTTAGTGATGTTCCATTTTAAACTTCTCTTCTTGCTTTCAAAAATGGAATACACTTTAAAAGGTTGCTGTTATGTAAGGCTGTTATGTTATGTAAGGAAGAGTAATAACCTAATTTCTTTCTCTTTGCTTTAATGCCATTATTTTTCATTAGAAGAGCTTGAATAAAAATGTCTAGTTTACTGTAAAAGTGTTTTTTTTTCCCTCCGTTTTCTAAATGTTTGTGTAAGAAAGACATATATCATCGTCTTCCACGCAAGCGAAACTCTTGCATTTACGCGTATGCATTATAGTGATATTCCATTTTAAACGCGTACATCTTTTGAAAAAAAAATAATACAATTTATAATATTGCTGTAAGAGTATTGCCTTTTACAAGAATAATAAAGAAGAATTTCAAGAGAAGAATTTAAATTTAAATATTAGTTTACTGTAAAAGTGTTTTTTTTTTTTTCTGCAATCTTATAGTGATCTCATAACGAAGGCATATGCTTCCACGCAAGCAAAGCAGTAACAGATATATTGGGACGTATTTTAGTGTTATTCCATTGCAAACTTCTCATTTTGCTTTCAAAAGGGGATTAAAATTTACAATATTGCTGTAAGATTATTAAAATTTTTTATCTTTCTTTTTTGATGCCGTTATTTTACATAAGATCTTGCATAAGAGTATATCCTAGTTCACTGTAAAAGTGTTTTCTCCACATTTATAGTGTTCATGTAAAGAAGACACATTTCTTCGTTTTCTGTGGGGAAAAAAAGTAGTCCTTTTACAGGAACATTTTAAAGTTTTTTGAAAATCTTTATATTTTGGCTTTATGTGTTTTGAATTTCAAGGAGGCAATACATACAAGTATTTTAAAGCATTAGCTGATGAAAAAGTATTTTTGAAAAATGTTCATATTAGCCTATGGAAAAAATCTAAAGTATCAATCTTAGTCTTCTAAAATATGTTGTACCTTTTTTGATACGAACGTTCAGCGTTTTATAGAAATGTAGGCATAGTTTCTAAAAAGGTAATTTTCGGGTTGCAAAAATATTGAGTAACTGGAAGAGATTAGCGATGTTTCGTTCATTCCTATTCAGAAAGAATTTTATTAATTCATCTGTATTATTAGATAGTTTATAATCATGGAGATCAATTTTAGCAATATGCATTTATTATTGTAATGTAATGACTTCTATAAAGGTTGCTAAAGACACTTTATAAACATAAAATACTGTACTTGTAAATGCTAAATAACTAACATGAGAATCCAATAGAAACCAACCAGTTTTAAATATTACACTAGAAATTGGAACTCAGTTGCATTCACACTAAGTATACATTTAAACTAGCTTTAACGTTTAAATGCAAAATGGGGTTTCAAAAATTCTCCAAACATATTCATTCCAATAATATTTAGGGTGCACAATATTTGTCCTTCCTTTCGTTGGTATATTATAAAAATAAAACTTATCAAAAAGATCTTTGCGTAAACTTCGATTAGAATCATCTAGGAATTATCATTATCTTATTGAATAATTTTTATCTTATGTTTATGTTACTCATCTTTAAAGACTTGTGTTAAAATCGCCCTCTTTACCATCATTAATGCCATTTATAATGCTTTATTTATAATAAATGTGGTGAAAATGTTCGTAATAAATAGTTCTATCTATGGAAGACTATTTTATTTTTGACTATATTTCTAAAATGTCCAGAAAAAACCCCCCATGTTTTCTTAACTTTTTTCATTCTTTTTCAGAATAATTTTAATCAGGGAAATATCTATTACTTAGCATGGAGTCGCGGTGGCTTAGGGGATTGACCGTTTGCTTTTTAATGAGGTGACCCAGGTTTGAGTGCCAGTGGTGTCTGGTTGATACGAATTCTTCTTCCGGCTCGCTCAGACCATAGTGCTCACGTAAAAACATCCTCAGTGGTAGACGGATCATGGATTAAAGTCCTCTCGTCGTCGACTAATCGTGGGAGTTTTACGTGATTTTCCTCTTCATTTAACGCAAATGATGGCTAGTTCCATCAAAACGTCTTCCACGAAGGCTGGTTTATCACAATGCTTGGTCCAGGAGCTCTCTTGTCTTCTGGGTTGCGTTCAAAATTACTAGGCTATGGAGTTGTACATTGATAGTCATAAACTCAGAATTACATCAACTGCTCAACGCCGGTTAAAATCCGCTAAGGGATTAGTAACATTAATTTTGCGTTTTTTTAGGATTCTTCTTCTTCTTTTTGTTTGTTTTATTTAATGTTTGGGTTATTGTTATTAATTTTTAGACGTAACATTTAATAGATTACTTACTTTTTCCAGCTTCATAAAAATTTACTGCTTTGTGATTAAAAGGTGTTGAAACACTAAGAGCGGTGACAGCAGCAACTATTGACAGTGAGAAAATTACAGATCTTTTCATAATAGAATTTCTTTTATTTTCCTAAGGGGAAAAAAAAAAACATTATTGTCATACCTTTTTATTAATTTTTGTATCTCACATTAAATCATTCATCTCTGAATACCAAACCATTGTATTTGAAGAAGGCTTACATTAACAGAGGTTACATTTTTATAAAGCTTTTGAGACCTAAAATTTTGACTCTAAAAATTCCACTCTAATTTTGATGGTCAATTTATTATTTTTTAATTATTTATTTACTTATTTATTTATTTACTTATTTCTTAACTTTCTTAAGCTTCTTAGTCTTTAAAACGGACTACTTCAATGCATGTTGTGTACGATAAAGAGATAAGTTATATAAGTTTAATGCTCCTCAAAATAAGTTAATAAATGCGTATGCGTAGTGTTCCTTACCATTATGACCAACCTTAACACTTAATTTTAAATTTCTTGGAAAAATTAAATCTAATAAGTTCATGTATTAGTTTACGCAAATTAATATTTAAGCTGAGGAAAAACAAGAACGCTATCAAAGTCTGAGGAATCACTAATGGGGAAGGTGGTAATGAAAGTTGAACCTGTTTGATTGCCGGAGGAAATTGAAAAATGTAAAGGTGATTATTAGTATTATTTAGCAAATTGGTTTCGATGTTTATTATACCAGTAACAATGCTATTGTAATTCAATTTATTTCGATTCCGATTTTGTTTCGAAAAATAATTTTATTTATAAACTAATGTTATAATTATTAAAGTGAAATCCCATATATATATTAATACAGATTTTTTATACAATTTCCCTATTATCTTTTTTTTGTATTTATATAGATTTTAAAAATAAATATTAAATATATATGAAGTTCTGAAATATACACATATATATCAAGTTCAGAAACATTTTTTTTTAAAATTGTGTCTCTAAGCTTTGAGGATTTTTCGACGTTTTGCTATAAAACAAAAAGCTTTAATATCAGATTTTTTTTATTGATTTTCCTGGTGATACCTGATTAATATCAATGTACTAAGTATCGTTGAAAATTTTCAGCTATAAAGGGCTGAGTTAATTGAATACTTTATGTTCAGTTTTGGAAGATTTTATTCAAAGTTAAAAGATTTAGAACATATCGTTTTTAAGTTTCATCTACAATACCTAGAATAAAGCCATTTAAACTTGCAATAATTAATATCACAGTTTTTTATGAAACAAGCTTGTCGGCTCAGTTTTGTGTGTATCATTTTAAAGTAAAATGTATTTACAACTCTTAAAGTTAGTTATATACTGCTAAATCAACTGGTATCTTATATTGCTCAATCAACTAATATCTAAATATTTTTCAAATTTCTATAAGGGAAATAAGGTGCAAACAGGACAAAATTGCTGTATCCCTTTATAAAATGTTTAAGCAATATTACATTTGTCATTTGAAACTTAGGAAATTTAAGAAGAAAAAAAGCATTAATTTACATAAAATTTCGTATGTATCCATTTATTTATGATCTTTAAACGAGGTGTGATTCAAACAAACAAACAAATTTATTTATCATACAATCTATTTAATTATAAATATATTAAAAATTTATTTTTAAGTAAAATTTTTCAATGTGTTTTTTTGTATAGCTAGTCAATAAGCTGTGAAGTATGTGTACATTTAGGAACTGATACATTTAAAAATACGTTGATTTATTTTAAATATTTTAAATTGCATTATTTTTATTAAAAAAAAATTTCTTAAAATAAAAATTTTGAAAGTAATAAATTTTATAGAAAGATACAGATAAAGAATTTCAAATAAAGATTTATATATAAATTTTATAATACTGTCATCCTCACAAAATAGAAAATTCTAATCTAAGTATGTATATATTTATTGACTGATACATTTAAGAAATATAATGATTTATTTTATTGTTAAATTATTTTCATAAAAAAGCTGCTCAAATTAAGTTAGAAAATTACATTTTTGAAGCTAATAAATTTAAAATAAAGACTTAGATATAAATTTCATAATAACGCCAATCTTACAAGTTAAAAAAATCTCTAAGTTTGTGTACTGTTGACTCTTACATATGAAAAATAAAGTAATTTATTTCATAATTACATTATTTTCATAAAAAAACTGCTAAAAATAAATTTAAAAAAATTAAATTCTTTTTGAAAATAAATTTTAAATAAAGATTTATAAATAAATTTTATAATACCATCAGCCTCACAGGAAAGAAATTTCTAATCTAAGTATGTGTACATTTAAAAGATTTAATAATTTATTTTAATACATTATTTTCATTAAAAAAAAGTTACTCAGAATAAGAAAGCTAATAAATTTCAAATAACAAATTTTTATAAAAAAAAATCATAATTCAGCCAACTTTAGAAGATATATAATCACTAAAATCAGCATAAAATATTTAATTGGAACATTAATTAACATTTAAATATCATCGAATGTATTTCTGTAAAATAAATTATAATAATAGTACTTACCTTGAAAACCTTTAAATAATCCAAATCCAGAGTGAATCGAAAGAGTTAGCGCTTCTCAGAAGAAGCTTTGGGGTTTCGAATTTTTTTTCCAAATATATAAAAATTCTGTAGGACCTCTCAGGTCCTTGACACTTTGGGTCCCTTTATTTAGGGCCCCCCTTTTCTCAGGGTTTTATAGATAGTTCCCGATCCCCACCTCTCTCGTTTCTGTCCTACCAATCAGACCACTTTTTGAACTCCCTTAATTTGCCTCTGCTTCTTTTTTTTATTCTACAGAAATTATCCTTTCTGGCACCTCACTTGACCATGACCGCGAAAAATAGCGGTTAACCCGGAAGACAAGAACGGTTGTATGTTCTTTATCGGGTGGCCTAGGGGGCAACTAACGGGTCATCATACGGAAATAATCTTGATAGGTTATTGTTTGTTTTTTCTTCTTTTTATATTATGTATTTATTTTGTGTTGAAGTTGAAGTGGCAGTATGTCAGGAGTAGCGACTTGTTCCGTCAAAGAGTTAATTGCAAAAAATTACTGTGAGAGAAGTTGCTTAATTAGTAGGCGTTTTTTGATTGTTAACTTTCTCGTTCATTTCGCGAGTGGAAAATTGAATTCCTTTAGGTTATTGTTTAAAAAAAATGCTGAAGCGAGTTTTCTTTGCCAAAATGGCAGTTATTTCATTCTAAGAGTGAACTGCAAAAAATCATTGCAACGAAAAAGTTGTTTCTAATTAGCAGGCCTTTTTTAGTTGTTAACTTTTTCGTTAATTTTTCCAGTGGAAAATTGGATTTACAAGAGTTATTGTTTGAAATAAAAAAAAATTGTTGAAACGTGTTTTAGTGGTATTTTTATTGATGGAAGTAATTGAGTATATTTTTCTTCATTTTTATTTATAATTATATGTTTCTGCTTTTGCATGTATAGGAGCGAATTGAATTCCTTTGGGTTATTATTTGGAAGAAAAAAAATTGTTAAAACGAGTTTTCATTGACAAAATGACAGTTATTTCATTCTAAGAGTAAACAGTTAAAAATCATTGCAATGAAAAAGTCGTTTTTATTAGTAGACATTTTTTGATTGTTAACTTTTTCGTTAATTTTTCCAGTGGAAAATTGGATTTATATGGGTTATTGTTTGAAATAAAAAAAAAATTGCTGAAACGTGTTTTAGTGGTATCTTTATTGATGGAAGTAATTGAGTATATTTTTCTTCATTTTTATTTATAATTTTATGTTTCTGCTTTTGCTTGCATAGGAGTGTAGCTTAATTGGCAGTAAATTATTACTAATGCAATATATGTTGATTTATATTATTTTCAACATCATTAATTTATTTAAATTTCCAAGATTTGAGAAAATAAAAAAAATAAAAAATTTCTTTGTTAAGGAAACAATTAGCAGAAAAAATATTACAATATACAAACTTTAATTTCTAAAAAATCATAGTAACTAAAAAAAAGTACAATAATATTGGGGAGATTTTAACCCCCCCCCTCAAAAAAAAAAAAAAAAACTGTTTCTAAGCTACTATTAAGCTACGATAATTTTTAGCATCTCTGCTTTATATTACTAATGATTTTATTAGTTTTATGACTAATGATGAATAAGATATGTAATTTTTTCTGTTGATATTTTTTGACACAATGAAACTTCAAGCATATCAATGATTAAATTTAAAATGAATTTATATGCAATGATTAAATTTAAAATGAATTTTGAATATCTTTCAATATTTTTGAATTTTATTTTATTTTATAACCTATGGTGAACAGCCGATCGAAATTTCAGTTTACGGCTACCAATGTTCAACTCCGTAGCCTTGTAATTTTGAGCCTAATCCAGAAAATAAGGAAATTCCTGGATCAAGAATTGGGAAAAATTTTGCCTTCGTGGAGGATTTTTTGATAGAACTAACCCGCATTTGCGTTACATGGGGAGAAAAGCCACGAAAACCTTCGGCGGTTAGTCTGACGGCAAGGGGACTGTTACTCATCACCCGTCTACCACTGAGGATATTTTACGTCTGCACTGTGGTCAGTGCGAGCCGGGTGCGGAATTCGTATCGACCAGCCATCGCTGGATTCAAGCCCGGTTTAACTCAATTGGAGGCAAGCGCTCAACAATAATAATTTGCTTCCGTTGATAGCACAAAAAATTCTAAAAATGAAATAAAAATAAAATTCAGAAAAACACCTCATTGCCAGATATGCTTTTGATTACAGCAAGCATAATGTATTTATGTTTTCTACAATTAAAAACATAATAAAAAGATTATAAAATAAAAACTCTTGACCTTAACTTGTTTTATTATGGCATTTTTTAAAAATAATTTTAAAAACTATCCGAACACGCAAATGATGATGGTTTGTATTAAAAATTTTTTAGAGACACCATGAAATGATTTTAAATTTATTCACATTTTTTAATTTTATTTTAGTAGAAGAGCAATAACACAGAATAGAAATTACATATCATATATACTTGTATTTATTTAAAATAGCAGACTCACATTAGAAATTAAACTCAAGATTAAAAAAAAAAAAAAAAAAAATCATGGGAAAATTTGCTATTTTTAATTCGGGCCTATTTAAATTAAGAATATTTATATAAATACTAAAATTTTAAGTTATTTAAAAAAAAATTTCTTAAAAAAAAAAAAAAAAAATTGGTTTTTAAAACGTGGTTTAAACTAGCCAACCCTGATTAGATAATAAATTTCTTATACATAATTCATTTTCAAACTTATGGGTATGATTGGTCTCAAAAAATTTTACATTTATTTCTCAATTTGACAAGACAAAAGTATCAATAAAAGCTCCAAATTAAGCATAATAAATACCTTTCCGAATACCGTGGTTTAGATAGAACATCTTCAATGATAGTATGCTGATTCAATATTTACCTGAAAAATCAAATTTAAATTTATTCCTTTTTACATTTTTATTTAGATAAAGAAGCATTTCCTAACTGAGAAAATGGTGCTGTCGTTTGTTCATAAGGAGCTGGATACATTTTGACCGCAGGAGTTGAAATCTCCTTTTTTTTGAGGGCACTTACTGAAAAGTTTTCAGGGGCCTGCTCCAAAAAAAGGTGCACACTAAAAGGGGGAGTGCAAGGGATTTTTTTCACAGTAGGAACAGGGGCCTCTAAGGCCAAGGTCAAAAGTTGAAACTTAAAGGGAAGCACTGTGGGTGGAACATAAGAGGGGGCAATAATTACTAAAATCTATTATTTTAATCGAACGATGGCTTTCTTTCTTTAAATCGACATAAATACCGTGATACCTGTTGATTTTATTTTAGTTCCCTTTTCTTAAGATTTTTTAAAAAAAAAAAAAATACTTTTCATCCATAAATTGTAGTTTTTCCAATTTTTTTTATGAATAGCTGATACTTTTTTACGTAACTGTTTCAAAGTATTTGATAAGCTAAAACAAAATTCACCATATTTGAAAAGTAAAATCAGGTTATTTTATTTTATTTATAAGCATTGAATTTTCGTATTCATTTATTTACTAATTGGAAATTAAACGAAATTTTTATAAAAAAAAAACTAAAATAAAAAGAGTCAATATTCGGTTTAATTAACCAGTTATTCATTATTTCTAGATAATTTAATCACACTATACTAAAAACTTACATAAATATTCAATAAAATATTCAGTTTTCAAACAAAGGCACATTTATGATGAAGAGCAAGGTAAAAATTTTTATTTGCTCTGGTGAAACAGGTTTGAAAAGGCCGATAAAGATTACCTGATTTCAAGGTTCATAAAACTTATGAAAAATTGACGAAATTTTGGGTAGAGTCCCTTTTCTGTTTGGCTAACTGAGGGAGGTTTCTTATCCGTGTAAGATAAAAACAGGTTATCCTCACTTTTAACAGCTGAAAAGGAGCTCAAGAAGTTGAATTTTCTAGATCTAGACCAATGCTCAATCTCAGAATTCCCTTGTCTTCTGGATTGGGTGCAAGATTATAAACATGGTCATCTGTATAAGTCATTTACCTAACGATTACAATAGGACAAAAATAATAATATTCAATTAAAGGTGACCTTTTTTTGATAAATGGTTCCATAAAATTTCCTCGAACTGATGAATACTTATGTATACTAACAAAATCCACAGAATTTACCTGGATTTAAATCCTAGTCAGTAAGGTTGGCTTTGAAATTTAAATCCAATTTTGCCCAGCTATATTATGCTATGTTGAGGCTGGATTTAGAATCAATATCTAGTCTCAATAATCAAAATCAATATTCGTATAACTTGATTGAATTAATTACTAAATTAATTAATCATCATAATTAATTCATAAATTAATTTACACCCTGCAATTACCACATTAATTTACCATCTAGTATTATTTTCATTGCAACAATGTATGATTGTATAGCCTAATTTCTCAACAAATGAAATATTTTGAAAGATTAAATGATTTATTAATTTATTCCAACTAAATTAAATTAAATAAATTCATTTTAATTAAGTTTACATAAATTAATAACCAAGGGGTAAAATTTTTTCTTCATCAAAAATCACTTTTTTTATTATTATTATTTTAGCGAAAGAAGTTTGTTCTCCGTTTCAAAAGTCTTCGTAGAAAAGTTTTATACAAAGATAAACGCGTCTACTCTTACATAATGTAGTTTATTAATTTATTTTCTTTGATTTAGTTCAAAATAAAGGAAATAGTATAAAAATAAATTAATGTGCATTTTAATTCGCTGTGTCAAACGCTCATTATCCTAATTTAAGAAAACAGCTCTCTTAAGAAAAGTACAATTTTTATTTATAGATTGAATAATTATACATATGGAATCTCATATTTTACGAGAAAACTTATAACCGGACCTAAAAATTCAAATTTGATTTATTTAACATGAATTTCGGTTATTTTCAATAACAATCCTTTTGTGATTTTCTTTTTAAAGCAAAACGATTTACAAGTCTGTCATGACTATGACCTCACCCCGGAAGAGGACTGAACTTTAAAAGTTCAGTCGTTATCTCGTTTGATGTTTACAAATCGCCCTTTTATTTTGTTCCACCTAAAATAAGTCTGAACTCGATTTGCATATAAGAAATAGAAGAAACCGGAATAAGCAATTATATATTTGGGCTGTCACCGAATTTGATAAAGTTGCGTTATTTATCTGGTCTAACCAGGTATTCCTTCTTTTACAGGGAAGAGTGGAGGAAATGTCACTAAAACATTCTCAAAAGCATCTTTTAATTTTTTTCTTTTTTATAATTTTAAATGAAAAACAGTATTTTTTCATATTAGTATGAAGTATAAAATTTTTCAACCAATGTGATTAAAACTTAAGCAGTAGAATGGAACTTTAACAAATTAGCATGGAACAAAAGCCATCCTTTTTTCAAAGGTGACATTTTTACATCACCACACTGCCTATTAGTATTGTTTCCAGATAGATATTTCACAAATTTCTGAGCAAAATTAAAGGTCACCACCGGCAACAAGGAGACTAAATCTAACAAATGGCGAACAAAAAATTATTTGATAATCTCCATTTTTCTCACTAAGAACGTCCTCCTTGTGTAGTTTATTATTATTATTATTATTAGCAAATATGGATTTATAATGAATGTATTATAATATTATGAAAATTACCTTGATTCACGCTTGCTTTTCTTAATTTTTCTTCATTTTAGAAAGAACCTTGAAATTATATTTTCATATTGTTTATCATATTTTGAGAAATGCTTTAAAGAGCCTTACATCTCAATCCTTACATCTTAATATTTCAGAATTTTTTTAATTCGTTAAAATTTTGAATTTAAAAAAGTTGCCACTGTTAAAAATGCTACAATTACCAAATACCCACTGGCCTGTGCCAAAAATTCCTCACTTTTTTCTGTAACAGAAACATATTTCCTGCATGGAAATCGTGGTGTTTTGTACCAAAAACTCTTTCCTGAACAATGTGACTAATCATTATATTGCAACAAAACCTTCTTTTTTACATAGGATTTTATTTGATTGAGTTTGTAGTTTTTAATCAAATAAATGACTAACTCAGACTTTTAACACGTTCATTGCTAGCAGAGTGCACATGGTTATACTATATGGTAATTTTTTATAGTAGTAATCTTTAAGGACAAAATCAAAGTTAAATGTCTTATTTTAGCAACCATTTTAGTTTTTAACTTTTACGATAAGTTTATTTAAATAAACAATATGCTATTGTCATGATAAAATACTATATTTTTTGGATAATCGAATGATAATATGCATTTTTCTGACGCTGGATCTATTTAATTTTTTACTTAGCCTTAGGGAAAAATTTCGCCCCGCGATATCATGTGATCAGCAAAGGATTTGAACGAATTCGAAATGAACCGTTTCTAATACAAAATTCGATAATTAATAGATTGCAGAAAATTTAGCCGTTTATCGTTTTAAGTAAATTACTGGGTATACTGATTTTGTTTCTCTACTTTTATGCACTTTAAAACTTTTTTCAAAGCCTGTGGGATAAAAGCTATCCACTTTATTTTTGGAGAAAATATAAACATACGACAGATCGCTTCATTCCCCCCCCCCAATTCCTATAGCTTCTTGACTTTATAAATCTAGGACCGAATTTTGTCTGAAAAGTGTTAGGAGCATGGGCATCCGTTTTTGTATTCGTATGTTGCCACTTACAGGAAAAGTTTATAAAAACATGACAGATTATCCTTGATAACTTTTGATCTATTGTTAGATTTTTACAATATTAAGATGCAATCTTCACAATTAGAGGGGAACACCTTAAATATGCTAACCAATTAATGCAAAAAACTATTTAAGTTATCAAATCAGTCCAGAAAGTCTATTTTAATAATACAAACACCTTCTCCCGACTTGTTTCTTTTTTATCCTCTAAAGATGGGAGCAATCTGGAAAATATTGTTCAAATAGGTTAAGTTAGAAAAAAATATGGTTAGAATAACAATCAAAAGTTAGAACCATCAAATATATTTCTTTTTATAAATATATTTTGCTCTTTTTCCTATATTTATTGAAATTAATAATAGAACTAACTTACCCAAAGATTTATTCAAGCAATGGAATTTATATAATAATATTTTCTTTGTTAATTATTTAATTTGCAAATATTAAAAAAAAGGATGTTTGATATCTTAGGTATAACAAATTTTACATCTAGTTATATATACAGTTACATCTAGTATAAACTATTAAATTTTAATTCTCAGAGTCTAAATTTTAAACATAAATTGTTACATAAATTAAAATAAAATGTAGTATTAAGACTCTCTTGAAGTTTACATTAATGAGACGTAAAAATTTTCATGACTCATAGATCAAAAATCCTTCTGATCATTATTAAACCAAATTAAAATAAAAATTATAAAATGATTAATAAAAATACTAATTATTATTTTCTACGTAAATTCTTTTTCTGTTGATAAATTAATTCTATTGATGAGAGCAGAGTTATAACAAAAACGTCATTAGCTGTTAGGATTCTAGGACATTATAAGTAGCATCCTACTATATGTAAAATCACATTAAGCGTGCTATTTTTTCTTTTTGGAGTTCTCATTTTCGTTAGGAAATGTTTATTTATGAAACAAAAATTTGCTATTAGAAAACAATGTTAGCCTATTTATGAATAAACAATAAATAATGAAAATAAATACGTTTTTCAAGACTAACCTGGGGAAAACTAATTTTATTTATGTCGGACCTATACAATAAAACATGAGGTGCATCACCTCGAAGGACAAAAATTTTTAGTGGTGATAGAAGTTCTTTTCGTTTTCTTCTTTATTCGTTTTATTCTACTTTAGAAATACAGTTATAAAAAATTTTATTTTCGTATTTTCAATTTTTAGTCTGATTAATTTGTTAATAAAGGAAAGAAGTATATATATATATATATATATATATATACGTATATTAATCTATCTATCTATCTATCTATCTATCTATCTATCTATCTATCTATCTATCTATC